TGCCAACTCTCGAATGTTCATGCGGCGTCTTTCCTTAGCACGACAGCAAATGTGTAATTTGTTGTAACTTCTACTGAATATTCTTCATTATTTGCAGTGCTAAAAGCGTAAAGTTTCAGAAAATTCATCCAATAGTTTCGTCCCTGAAATAAAAATTAGCACTGGAGATTTTGAAACACCGCAACCAAGAAATGCCCTTTATGCACCCAACGCCTTATTTGCTGCCCATTGAAACCCCATTTATCGCATAAGATGAGGAGAATACCAATGGAAGTAACAGCGTAAGAAAATCTCCCATCCATGAGAGGGGGGGGGCGTCATGACGGGGTACATACTGAGTCTTGGAACTGAGCCTACTAATCCTGTCTTGTCACAACAACTAAAAATTAAATTGCAGTGAAAAAATGGGCATCGGAGGGAAGAGAGGTGGTTGCTCTGGTTCTGATCAAGTAATGTCGCTTGCCAGAAAGTATCGTTATACGCAAACGATACTGCCAGAACGGTATGAGGACAGTAACTGCATGATTTCCTTATCTAAAGTGTGATTTACATAAATTCTCAGGCAGAGGATTCACGTAATTAACCACTTATTTGCACGCTGACATAAAATGAGCGCACTGACAGTGTTGCGTGACGGTAAAGAATTGAACGAATAAGTTACACTGACGGAAAGTAAGGTTTGTTTCATCAAAATATTTCGATTATAAATTGTTTGTTTAGTGTCATTTTTTTTTTAAAAAAAAAGACGTTGGCGTGTGGCAAATGGAGCCTTTCACGGGGCCTTTTTTCTGCTTATTCCTGTTTTTTCTTGGGTTCCTTGGGTCATTTTCGACACTGGTTCGATGAATATTTTGAGCTTTTTTTTGCAAGAGCAATAAAATAAAGACAAAAATAGCAAAAAAAACGCAGTCAATAATTTTAAAATTTATAAATGTTCATTTTTAGAAATATAGACGACGAGCATGGGGAGAACTAGGCCATCCCCGAAAAGGCACCTCATCAAGGTGATCGGGGGAGGGGGCAATAAAAGACACCCCACGAAGAAAGAGCTGTAGGACTCCGCCGGTCTCAATGAGAATTGCGGTGGGTTTACTTAGCTGCAAAAGGGAGTCTAGAATTTACCTGGCGACATTTTTAGAAAATTGAGTCGTCTCCGGAACAATTGTAAGCTGTTCTAATCGAAAAATTGATCGGATTACAAGTTTAAAGATGAGAGATGTGACACGCAGTTACTTAACAAAATCCCTGACGATTACAAGGAGTGGCCAAGTAGATTTCTAGGGAGGACAGGCCCCCCGGCCCCCCTAGTTCCACCCATGAAAAAGAGAGAGGGTGCGAGGGGGGAGGGAAAGAGAGAGTGCATTAAATCGTAAAGAAACATCAAGCAAAACTGCGCTAGGTACTCTAAGCTGCACTACCTAACGTTTGTCTGTGTTTTCTTTCTTAATTCTTTCTTTTTTTTCAACTCACGCCATCGAGATCTGAAACCGCATAATATGCGAGGTGATGTCACAAGGTGCAAAAAAATATGATACAGCACCACGCACGGGAGACATACTGTCGTGCTAAGGAAGAACGCCGTATGAACATTCGAGAGTTGCCAAATTTCCCTTCATAAAACGTGTAATTTTGACGCAATTTAAGCATAATTTTTCTTGTAATTTTAAGATATTATAGATTAAATTGCGTAAAAAATTGTCTGACAATTTTGGAGAAGAATTACAATTTTCCCAGTAAATTCGGTTTTTATCGAGGGAAGTTCGGCAACGTCTGAAGGCTCATACGGCGTTCTTCCTTAGCACGGCAGCATAGCACGCAACTTTGAAATCGATGGCGTGGCAACGCTACAGCTTGCAAGTCGCTTCATTCAGTGATAATTCAATGCTCCTCAACAGTCATCAATGGCGTCTCTTCGGGAGACCTCGGCAACCGGTTTGCAGTTGTGACGTACGTGTGTGTGTGCACTCTGCTATGGCTACGTCATATATAATTTGTGAGATCTATACAGTGTTATTTATGAAAGAAATTACATTCTTAGATTAGTTTTTCTTATCGTCGCATATAAGTGGTTTTTTTTTCGATCTTTATAGTTTCGACTTTGATAACTCACGGTACCTCGGTCTCTGCGTACGTATTTTTTTATCAACAAAGTACGCTAACCTCTATCGGCTTCCCGAGACCTTCACTTGCCGCGCAATGCTTTTTTATTCGACATGATCATCGCATGATGGCGCTCTCTGGCGGAGCTGGTGTTTAAACTTTATTCACTGATCAACTATTGTAAGTGTAAGAAGTTTGAAATGTTCAATATCCTAGCGCCAAACGAGAAACTGCGTTTTTACGTTTCACAATTTTTCGGGAGGGGGGGGAGTAGCTTGTTTTAATTCATGTATAATGCAAACTTTGAAGCTTTTTTCAGATATTTTTTATTTGGTTTTATTAATCGGATCAGCCTTGTGGAGGAGCTTCGAATCGATTAAATCCATTACTTAATTACTTCAAAAGGAAAAAAGAAAAGACCAGAAAAAAGAGAGATTTCATATTCTTAAACAGTAGTTCATAACGAATCTTTACCCAGGCTATATTGGAGGGAAAGACCGCTTCAGACATTTGATTCTTTGAATTAAATAATCAGACCTTGGCATTAAAAGTTTTTGAAACCTGCATCAATCGCTGTTGAACATTTATGAGAAGAGAGTTTACTTACAACAATCAAGTTTTCAAAATTCAAGTTTCCCACCTGACAAAGTTTCACAAGAATCGATCGAATGAGAGCGGAGAGCCGCATGCCGTACGATCAGTAGGACTCGGAACAGACGTAAACGAAATCGGTCAATTCACGTACGTTAGTGCGCCTTCAATTTCGTCTGATACTGTGCAATACTTCTGTGGTGGAATAGTTGCTCAGAGCGCCTTTCACAGTATCGTTTCAACTTGGTGGCAGAAGATAACGATTGATGCTGATATAATACTTAAAGGCGTGCGTGATTACACATTTTCTCATCACTGACGGTGAGGTGAAAAACACTCATACCTTAATTTGCGACGTTGTAAGTTTTTCACTGCTTACTTTATGTGGGTCCGCTCATACGAATACTTTAAAATCTGCCGTAATTTTTTCGAGATACGATGAGATCTAAGATTGTAATGTCTCATTCAAGACTATTTGTATACTGGCTATGACAAAGGGGGAAAAGTATGAATAAAAAACTTTGAACGAACGAAAACGGACCCGAAATTTTATAGCCCTTGAAGTAAAACGGGCCTGGTGATAATCCCTGGTTGAAACGCGTCAAAAAACACTGAATATTTGTCTTTCAGTGATCTACTTGTTTTCTTTTCGTGCACTGAAAAAAAAAAAAAAACACATTGGATCTANAAACACATTGGATCTAGAGTCTAGACTCTTAAAAACATCGACAAAAAAAAGTACTCTTGATTCAATCAGAATCTAGCTTAAATCAAGGACCAAGCCTTTTACTTTAAGCGGATTTCATTTTGATTCAAGCAAAAATCCGATTGAATCGAGAGTATTTTTTCTCGTCAATGTTTTCAAGAGTCTGGACTCTAGATCCAATGTGTTTTTTTTTTCCCAGTGCGTGTCGATCGACTTTAATCTGAGCCTTTTCCTTTACGTGTTTTTAGAGATTTTTAGATCAATCCTATACCGTCAATCAAAAAGGGCGAAAAAATGACTCAACACGTATCTCACAACCAATCAATTCTCGATCGGCTACGAACCAAATTCTTGCCGGAGGCCGTCGCTTCCGGAGCTTTTGGTGACGTCACTTTCGTGGGTTTCGAACCATCGCCTCGCCAGGACCTCGACCAATACATGTCAGACATCGTCTTCGGTGACGTCATCCTGTCCACCGCTCAGGGTCGCCGTGCAGAGTCTGTGGTCGTGAAAGTCCACCCCAACACAGACTATGCAGCCGGATTCGAGATCGGTGCTCACTTTCACAATGAAGCACTCTTCTACTGCGAGGTATTCATACCCTCTGTATTTTTTATTTTTTTTTTAAAAATTGAATTTGTGGTTGTTCAAGGGAAAGACATCTTAAAGACGACAGTCTTAAAATTTAGAAGTCTTGGCATGACTACTGAAGAGAAATATGTCATGAATATTACACCTTACGTTGACCTAAAAAAAGGCTTTCACGGAGCGCTGAGCTGAAGGAACATAGTTAATACCTGACAAAGTTCTGCCGTACTAAGGAAAAGCGCCGAATAAACATTTGAGAGTTGCCAAATTTCCGCCAATAAAATGTTTATTTTTGGGGAATGATATGAATATTTTTCCTTGAAATTTTCAGGGACCTCAGGCAAAATTGCGAACAAAATTATCTGAGAAATTGGAAGGAAAATATTCGTAAGTTTACCAGGAAATTCGTGTTTTACGAAAGAAAATTTGGCGACGCCTAAAGGTTCATACGGCGTTTTCCCTTAACACGGCAGAGTTATACTTCGATTTTCGGGTGACTCGAGTTGCATAATCGCCGGTATGAAGGGGCACTCAAGTTTTCACTATACATGTACTATCAGTTCATCCCCTTTCAAAACCATTGCTGATTAATTGTAGATATAATCAGATATCAAACAGGGGAAAGTTGACCCTACAGACTTAAAACTTGAGTATTCTGTTTTATTTTTTAAGTGCTGTGTTATTTGCTACTTCCACACATTTTTAATGCATCATAATTTATTTTGATTCGCTCAAGATTATTCCGTTTTTCCAAAAATACGACGGTGATCGCTTTTTGAACGCATCGGTGCCCGGTTTCTTATACGGACGTGCGACAGGGAATCCAGAGGATGACGTCATCATTCTGAGGGATGCAACGAAGGAGGGATTCCGCATGACCGAGGAGAGATTGTTTTTGGACGAGAAGCACATCAAACTAGCACTGAATAGGTCAGTCCACGATATTTTCTTAAATAACTCGAACAGATCTGTTTGAAGTTTTTACTACAGGAAAAAATACGAGGTGTTTCTTCCAGCAAATGTCCTAAAAATCACGGAGAGTACCTACATGTAAAAAGTCTGAAAA